AAATCTTCAAATCTCAAAAGAACACCGATTCCTACCAAGGATGATACGCGAGGCTATTGAAATTAAAAACATCCTGATTTCAATAGAGAACATGGATGGGTGCTTCCATACCACTGCAAGACTTTAAGGGACTGTAAGCTCGTTCTCGAATGCGTTTGACTACGCGTAGATCGTACCAAAAAATTATTTTAAAATCTGAAGGTAGCCGGGCTAACTATGACATTGGGACGTCAAACATCTCAGGGGGGACCCCTGTGACCAAGGATGCTGTAAAGCACCCGAAACGTCGAGATTTAAAAATAAGTTAAAATAAGTTATTAAATGCGATAACATCCGTAAATATAGTTTTATTCAATGTGTATTTTTCATGTAAATTTAAGAAATCGTTAATGGTTCTACTTAGTAGCCTATCTGCCGCGCAATAGTAGTGCTTGCATTGCTGTGTTGTTCCATTAAGGAAGGTATAGAGAGTTACTAAAATAACAAGCTGTGAGATATTCCATCTTAGTCTTCAGGGGTGGCGTCAAATCTACAATCTTCTTTGTTTAAAGTCGGTTGTAGATTTTAGCAACTAACCATTGGGCGGACTGTGAGTTTATTTGCCATGTCAGATTTATAAAAAAAAATACAGTTTTATTTTTAATTACAAGCTAGCGATTTTCCTTTTGATTATTTAAATTAGAAAACTGACATTAAAGTAAAAAAAATATTACTATATTACTACTATCATAAACATTAATTTCAATTACCTATACGAAATCAACTTCTGCAAACTTGTGCTCGGGAAAGTTGAGCAACAGCTTATAACTTTCACAATAAGTGAAGTCTTACTATTGATCTTTTAATTATTGCTTGACGGTTTCGAATGCTCTTAAATTCTAAATTATAATTTGAAAATTTGAAAGGATAGTTTTTATATCATCTCGGTCTTTTTACAGCCCAAAAATTGACCATAGCTGGTCTTCGGCCCCTCCAATAGCAGAAAGGAATGCCTATATTTTTATGCATGTGTTAGATATTAGTCTTGAAATTGTTTATATATAAGAAATATTTTTCAGTATTGACTCTTACGCTATAAAAATACAGTTAATTGATATATTTAACAAAAAAAATGTGTTCAATGTTTCCGTTCAAATTTTATTCACAACTTAATGTTTTTCTGTATTAATTAATAATGTAAAGCCTCAACGGAGGTTAGTCACGAGTGTGTGTGCAAACACATGCGCAAACTCTTTTCCCTCAATCTTATAGTAAGATGGAACGGAAATCCCACACAACTGGAAAGAGATCAGCCGCAGGACTATCAGCTTTACGTGCTTTTTAAGGCACCAGGATAAAATACTGCCAACTCTGATTCTGGGATACCCCATAGTCGCCTTTTACGACATAATTTTTTTCAAATCACCACATGTTTCTTGACTCGTATCACGAATATGGCCGGTGTTCTTAAGGTTTTCAATCTTTGATGATATAACATGTGTCTTTTAGGTCATGTGTAAAATCAGACTGGCAATGGGGGACTGCGTCAACGGTGTTAAACGTATGAGACTGCAATTATCAATACACCTGTCAATCGAAGAGATTAAGGCAAGAAAACCATTACAGCAGTAAAGACCCACATTCAGTGGGCATTAGTGGGTTGACAAAGAAGAAGGAGGCCCTTACTAATCCAATTTGTTGGACTTCGAAATCAAAATTTATTTTTCAATAAATATAAATATAAAGTTACACGGCTATTACCCAAAAGGGGAGGGAAAGTCTATGTAGGTACTTCCATATGAATGCATACATTATCGTCCCTTTAGAATACTCTCGACTTGGTCCAAATTCAATATATTATATATATCGCATATTTCATCGATAAATTTTCATATTGGGTGTCATTTTCCGACTCTCACTTCTGCAGCATAAATTTTTTTTTTTTTTGTATAGATTGAGGTTGACAAATGGGCCTATAGTCTACTGATGGTAAGTAGATGCTTCTGTCCATAAACATTTACATCTATGCTGCATCAAGAACCTAAATACATTTTTAATCAGTAGAAAGATTCTCCGGTTCTCTACACTTACCATACGAAACACAGCATCATTAAGCTACTATCTTACGCTGGCATTCTATGAGAATATGGTCCTTCCCAATGGAGCTGATCAATTCATGCTACAACCATAATATACGTTTAAAAAAATATGTGTTTAAAACATTTAGTCATAAACGCCTTATAATATTGATAGCGTAACACATTGAATATAAAATTTGATCAAACATTAAGCGCATGTGACATACTTACATAGCACGTTGTCGGTCCCGAGTCGACATTTTTCTGCCTGTGTGAATTTCATCGCTATAGTTTTTAATTTAAAACGATTGCGATGTTATGGCGCTCTAGTGAATATAGCGATGATAGTTATAATTATAACTGAACGCTTTTTAAAACTTTGGTGGAGTTGAACAAAATTTGCTGGGTTTTAATCTGAGGGTTTTCGTGGATCTTGTTACCATGACCGTTCACGCTAACTTCGACTACGATGGTAGTTTTCACTTTAAAAATTGTAAATTATTACTATTCATTACATGCATTGTGGCATAATTTGTCGATTAACCTCTCGGTCGAAGTTGGACTTACCTAGTCAGACTAATTATTGTCCTAGGTAAACATACTCATCAATAACTTTGAGCGTAGTGCTCCCAATTACTACAGTCATAGCTGTGACATGGACGTTACACAAGGCTTTTGCTTTGACCATATTTAAGCCAATTAAGGCCATACTAAGACCTATCCGTTGGAAGACACTATTGAGGGTCATTGAGGGAGAACAGGTTTGTATCTCAGTGCGACTTGTCTATCTCTTCCTCCAGCTCCAGGATTTCATAGTCAGTCCTCATTATATGTGCGTTGTATTTTGCCAGGTCGAGTCGCCTTAGGTGGCAACCGAACCTCTACCGGTTATTCTTAGCATCAGACATCGTGCTCCTCGGGGGTTACATCTCTAGGGCCCCCGCCCCGAGCGTCTGCAACCACAGAGGCCCCGATTCTGGTAGGGGAACACCGTTTATAAGAGGAGGGCCGTGACGAATGCCTTGGCTATGTCGTCTCCGAGCAAGATCCACCCACTCCCGATCCCGCTCAGCAGCCTCCTTCTGTACCATAATAGATTCACAGAAGGTGGCTACCTACGTTTTAGGTTGTTATTATGCAACTCTTCTAAACCTGCACAACTCCACAGAAACTATTAAATTGACATATTGCAACCTCGTCTGCTTTAACAGGCACTCTCAGATAAATTTATAGACTTCATTTGATACCAAGGCTCGGATTCTAACCTATGACTTTATTATGCAGTCATGATCACGGATGATTAATTAGTAATGTGAAAAATACCCCTTCCCCGCCGTTTCCATGACCGTCGTGGACTGGTAGCCGCTTCCTTGTAACTCTCGTGATGGGACTGTGTTGTCATAGTTAACACGTTTGGCAAGCAGGTTGGGCAACCGCAGCTTTTTTATTGCTATTTTGCTTTTTCTTTTGCAATTTTGGATTTGCAGAAACAAAATGAAATTTAACCAGATTATATAATAGTCACTAAAGGAAACAGACATTGAAATATCGTTTAAAAAAGCGAGCACACGTATTGCCATCTATATTATATACAATAACCATAATACCTCAGCAACATTCAGATTTAAGACACAGAGCCGCGCGAACAAATTTGACAGTGTTAATAAAGAGCAAACAACTTTGAAGTAGCTATATTGCGAGTACGCTCCACAGAAAATAGAGCTTATTTGGAAATTGGCACGACTTTGTTATATATATATATATATATATATATATATATATATATATATATATATATATATATATGTATATTCTTTTTTAATCCGTCTAATTTCGCTTTTCCGGTTTTTCGGCCGTTGAATTTGCAATCACTTTTTTGGAAGTAAGCAAAGTTTGTATATTTGTTTATCATTAAAATTAAAATTAAATATTCTTCAAAGGAAAATGTATCTTATAATTTATTTTGTTAAAGTTACAGTCTATATACGCCCCACTCTTGGTTTTAGGGCACGGAAATATATACCACGCTGCTCCAATGCGCGTTGGCGTATTTCACATGTCTTGGAAATATTTCTTTGTAATTTCTCGGACATGCAGGTTTCCTCACGTTTTTCTTCACCGCCGAACACGTGCCGGCGGTAATAAAACTTGGGTTGCTTGCGTACTGAGAAATTTGCAGCGAGTGCTAAATTCCTGAGCTTCTAGGGCTTAATAACTAATGTTATTTTATATCGACTGAAACTTTTCTGAAATGCATTAAGAAGAAAACCGTCGGAGAAACATTAACATAACATTAAAAAAATTAGTCTTTATTACAAAGGTGCTGCTGCCTACCTCCCAATTTCCCTCTGCCGCTTACGACACCACGGGATGATGTGGATTGATGTGGATTCTTCATCGCCCCTAAATGATATAAGGGTATGAGGCTATAATCAATGAAAGAATATCACACGATAAGTTTACCATTTGTTTGTAACGTCAACATTTATATTAAACGCGATAAAACCCGTAAATTTGTATACTTATTGCATTCAGTTACATCAACATATTGTGCCGTCTATGGGTCGACTGATGTTTATCATATACTGATGGAATGCGCTCGAAACTAGACTAAAAAAAATAAGTCTGGAAATAGATTAGGAGCAAGTGCTTATGATATTAAATAATGTTAATAAATAAAAATATTTTTAATAACTTTGTTTTTTTTTTATTTAAATTTGGAAAAATCATTTATATAATACTTATGATTTTTTAATCTGGCTGCTAGACGAAGGCTTTCGTAAAATAAAATAGAATAAGTACTTTTCATTTATATATACACACTCAGTTTGAAGTTTTAAGCATTAAATAATTTTAATTCGTAATATCAAATTATAATTCTGTAATTACTACAAAGTGTTAAAAGTAAAAAGTAAAAGTGTACTTGTTAAGTTTTTCACTCACCGGGGAGATCAAGATCACTTATGAATTCCTCCATATCCACTAGTCCTTGGACGGTGGTTATCATCACAAGAGCTATTAGAAGCTGCATAAAAACGCCTCCCGTCTTCGCCTGCACAGGCATGCACACATCTATACTCGATAATCGCTCCATTACATATCTATTCTACTTTCAATTACAATATATAATTAACTACATGCCACTTTAAGTTTAATTATTATAACTTTTTTTTTCAGGGAAGAATTAACTACCTAAAAGTCACCACGATCAAATGTTGCAAATACAAAAAATTATAATAAATAAACACTGCATTACTTCAGTCACAATTATCTCATAAAAAATCGAACATTTATCTTACTTCCCGTGAATGTTTATAATCTGAAGTCGCAACACGTGTTGGGAAATAAACAAGTCGAGATACGATCAAAACGGGACGGGAGCGTGCGTACGTCACCGCGCCGCGTAGCACACTGATCGAAAACCGATAGCTGAAACAGTATAAGAGAAAGGATACGTTCAAACAATTTTGAATTTCGAATCATGGAAACCCAAACAGCTTTTTCAGGAATCCTGGCCGCCAGCACTGTTTTAAAGAATTCAGCAGCGTTTGAAATACAAACCGACGCAAGAAATACGTTCGTTTGGGGTTGTGACAGTTTACTTAGAAATTTTATTGCTATGGAATGTTGCTAAGAAACTACGAGTGTACTTAACTTATTTTATTACGTTTCTCAAGATGTAAGATAATTAGTTTCGCCAACGAAATTTTACTAGGAGAATTTATCTTGAAATTATTAAAGAGAGTTATATATTCCAAGTAAAAGTCTAATATTGTTCGTGACAAATGCTTGTCACAAGAGCTTGCAAATTGATAACTAGAAAAAACAGTTTAAGTAAAATTAAAATATTCCCTGATTCTTTATTACTCGTTGTTTAAAATGTTTTCTGAGATTAAGAATATAGAATAATGATTTTGAAAGAATAAAGAATTACAAAATATTTTATTCTGAAGCTTTAATCCTTAACCTAACTTTTATACTTGGTAGAGCCACATTGCAGCTATAATATGGTTGTAGCACGAATAAGTCTGCTCGAGCATGATAAGACCACGTTCTTACAAAATTAAGTTGAAAAAAAAATAGAGTTGCTTGATATGTAACAACTAACTTCCAAAAAATGTAACAGCAAAATAAAACAATTTCTTCTAACTACTGTAGCCGGCGCTTTAAATTTTCAATAATGTCTTAGCACCGACTTCAGAAGCTATTGAATTGTAAAGAACTCATTTTAAAGCCTACTTTTATAGAAGTTAAAATTATCTCGGGACCGCGCTTTGTGGCATTCCTTGTGCAATCAAGTTTCTCTCCCGATTTAGATAGAACCTTGAGTTGAACTATTTAATAAAAAGGATCAACAAAATAGATAAACAATTGTCGAATATAATGCGTACCAAAGAATACAATAAAATTGATAACCATTCATATTGTTTGAATTCCGCTAAAAGAACTACTTCAATGACAAATTAAAAACATTAACACGACTATAGTGATATCTGCCTCGTTATTATAGTGATCAGTGAATCCAGGGTCGAGCCTGGATTTTTATGTCGAGAAATTCGCAGTAGCGGCCTGGAGTCACTAAGTTGGCGGTGTTTCATTTCCGTGCCTTAGAAAGCATGTAAAGCCGTTGGACTTGCGCTTAATTTCTCTCTGATCGTTTTGCATTACCATCCCATCAGGCTATGAGAGTGAGTGAATAGAGTGTACGTGTGCTCGCTCATACACTCTGGCACTATAACACTGTTTTGCGCCGATGGTTGGTCTACGTAGAGACTGGCTGCCGTAACCGAAACTCGATCTGAAAAACATCATTATTATAGTGATAAGTGATAATATTAACAAATGAAAAAAATACGTTAATCAGAATGTACTCCTGCAAAGGCTTGCCGATAAAACTCCGCTTTGAAAATAAATCTAACAATACCACGCATTTGAAAAACCGTGTAGCCTCTTTAGACTACTAGAGAAAATAAAATGAAATGAAATAAATTTATTTATTTGTTCTACGAAAGAAATAAAAAATTTATTAGTGAAGTGTCATTTTTATCGCTCTAATGTAGAGCCACGCTGCAGCTACAATTATGTTTGTAGCACGAATGCGTCGACTGCACCGCGAAGAAATCACGCTCCCACAGAATACAAACTTTAAATAGCACCTTAGTGCTGCTGAGTTTCGTATTGTGAGTGTAGAGAACTGGAGATCCTTTTTACTGGAAACGAGGAATTCCATCTAGGTCCTAAGGGTGACAAAGCATATGCATTTTGATACTAAATCGAGATTTCGAGCATCCACTTACCATCAAGTGGGCTATGTGCTCGTTTGTCACGTTTATTCTATAAAAAACAAGCCGGAGAAAAAACTACGCGCGTGTGAAAAATAAATTAACTTTGAGTTCTCAGAATATTTACGAAAATTTTATGTATATCTCCTAAAAGAAAAGTAGTTTAATAAAAAGGTGATAATATACACTGTATCAGGAACAAACACAAACTAGTGAAACCAGTTACTCTACCCTACAGAGTCAGTAATTTCATCATTTCATCATCATTACAGCCCTTCACAAGTCCACTGCTGAACATAGGCCTCCCCCAAGTAATGCCACAAAGCACGGTCCTGAGCCACCTGCATCCATCGACTTCCTGCATGTCTTACCAGGTCGTCACTCCATCTAGTGGGGGGTCGCCCTACACTACGCCTACCGGTACGAGGCTGCCACTCGAGAACCTTTCTTCCCCATCGGTTATCGGTTCTTCGAGCTATATGGCCGGCCCATTGCCACTTCAGCTTACTAATCCGTTGGGCTATGTCGGTCACTCTGGTTTTACTGCGGATATCCTCATTTCTGAGTCTATCACGCAGAGAAACTCCGAGCATAGCCCTCTCCATAGCTCGCTGAGCGACCTTAAGCGTCCTCATACGGCCAGCAGTGAAGGACCACGTCTCAGATCCGTAAGTCATCACTGGCAACACGCACTGGTTGTACAATCTAGTTTTTAGAGATTGAGGTATACCTGACGAAAAGATATGCCGTAATTTCCCGAACGCTGCCCAGCCGAGTTGAATCCGTCGATTGACCTCTCGGTCGAAGTTGGACTTACCTAGTCGGACTATTTGTCCCAGGTAAACGTATTCGTCAACAACTTCGAGCATAGTGCTCCCAACAACTACCTGCATAGGTGTGACATGGACATTGAACATGATCTTTGTTTTGTTCATGTTCATCTTAAGACCTATCCGTTGGGAGGCACTATTGAGGTCATTGAGCATAGTGCTTAAGTCCTCCAGCGATTCTGCCATAAGGACTATATCGTCGGCAAATCGAAGGTGAGTGATGTACTCGCCATTGATGTCAATACCGTATCCTTTCCAGTCCAGTAGCTTGAAAACGTCTTCCAATGCAGCGGTGAAGAGTTTCGGGGATATAACGTCACCCTGTCTTACACCTCTCTGCAGTTGGATAGGTTTCGAGCTCTGGTTCTGTACTCGGATAGCCATCGTAGCCCTACTGTACAAACACTTCAGCACTTCGATATACCGACAGTCAACTTGGCACCGCTGAAGGGACTGTAGCACCGCCCAAATTTCGACGGAATCAAAGGCTTTCTCATAGTCCACATACGCCAGGCAAAGTGGCAGATTGTACTCTTCAGTCTTCTGTACAATCTGCCGCAGGGTATGTATGTGGTCTATGGTACTGAAGCCTTTTTGGAAACCGGCTTGTTCGGGAGGCTGGAAGTCGTCAAGTCTGCGTGCGAGACGATTCGTAATGACTCTCGAAAACAGCATGTAGACGCGGCTCAGAAGGGAAATCGGTCTGTAGTTCTTTAAGAGAGCGTTGTCGCCTTTCTTAAAGAACAAGACCACCGCACTTCTGCTCCACGCCTCTGGAGTAGAGCCACCATGGAGGACGGAATTGAAGAGCTTCTGAAGGACTTCGAGTACCGGTGTTCCACCCGCTTTCAGAAGCTCCGCTGTAATTCCATCCTCGCCTGGGGCCCTGCCGTTTTTAAGGTGCTGGAGAGCCATTCTAATCTCGCTTAGACTGACGTCCGGGATATCATCGGAATAGTGTCGGATAAGACTTGCTCTTGGATCGTTACTCACACTTGCGTGTGGCTCCAACGATGATGTGTACAGCTGCCCATAGAACCTCTCAATCTCACTCAAAATCTCAGGTGTCCCGGAAACGATGTTGCCACACTCAGTCTTCAGCCTTGACAGTTGGCTCTTTCTGGCAGACAGATCTCTGGCAAAGACTTTGGAGCCCTGGTTCCGCTCGATCGCTTCTTTAATACGAGAAGTATTAAAGTTGCGTAAGTCTCGCCGTATGCATTTGGAGATCTGTCTGTTCAGTTGCCTGTATGCTGTCAAATCTGTTGACGATTGCAGCCTCATCTCCCGTCTAACAGCCATGAGATTAAGAGTGTGATCGGAGAGTTTTTGTGTTCTTCTGCGGCGGGTCTTGCAGAACTTAGCTCCGACCGCATGGACAGTTTCCACGAGCTTGTCGTTCATATCGTCCACTGCATTGCAATCTTCTAGGCACTGGAAGCGGTTACGTAACTCGAGCTGAAAGGTTTCGGGATTCTGGATTAGAGCACGAGGGGGGACGGAGCGTTGACTTCATTAGACGAGACCTCTCCAACTTAACGTTTAGGTTCAGTGTGCCTCTAACCATTCGGTGATCGCTGCCAGTTTTCACCCTTGCGATCACTGAGACATCACTGAACAGTTGGCGTCTGGTCGTCATAATGAAGTCAATCTCATTTTTTGTCGAACCGTCGGGGCTCGACCAGGTCCACTTCCTGTGGGGCCGCTTCTGGAAGAAAGAGTTCATCATAAAGAGTCCCTCTTTCTCCATAAAGTCGGCCAGCTGCTGGCCCCTTCGGTTCCGTTGCCCTACTCCAAATTTCCCTACCTTCAGCTCACCGCTTTCTCTTGTGCCCAGTTTTGCGTTGAAGTCTCCCATCAACACCGTGTAGTAGGTTTTGGAGGAATGTATGGCTCTGGAAATATCCTCATACATTTCCTCCACCTCCTCATCGGGATGTGCCGAGGTTGGTGCGTAAACCTGAATGACCTTCAGCGAATAC